ATGGCTGGCAATTCTTTTTGCATTGAGCTGTCAGCAGGGAATCCACCCTTGATCTGATGTTCCTAGTGATACGTCACATGCATGGTGTAATCTCTTTTTACATACAGGCACGGGACCGACTCCCTTGCACACAAGCACAAGAGGGGGGGATGATTTTTCTTTTTTAATTTTGATTTTCTTTCTTATTTTTACAGTGTCCCTTTATTTATTTGTTTTTTTTTACACTTAAATGTCCCCTGTGATAGCAATAGGTAATGACAGATTCTCTTTTCTGAGAAATCTGGGGCCTATTTAACTCTAGATCTCTCCTCTGCTTTGAAACCATCTGATCACACCAAGATCAGTGTGATCAGATGCTTTCACAATTTAATAAATGGCTTTGTTAAACAGAAATGATGAAATGCTTGTGGCTTCCGGTGTCTTACACCATAGAGATGATTGGAGCCATTCTGGTCTCCGATCAGCTCTATAGTCAGCCAGCAGAACTGCCAGCAGCATTCTCGAATTCCCCTGTGGGATGGGAGAGCCCAAGAAAACCATGGTAGGCAGCGAAAGAAGGGGTAAAAACAATCCTAATTAATCCTAATTAGCTGCTAGGATTGCTTTAACTTAAAAGCCGACTGCCAGCTGAAAAAAATTATATCAGGGTGATGCTTGTAGCTGCAGGCATCATCCTGGTATAACCACTCATTGTCTAGTGATGTACCGGTATGTTGCTGATCCTTCTTGGGCATACAGGTGAAACTCGAAAAATTAGAATATCATGCAAAAGTTCATTTATTTCAGTAATGCAACTTAAAAGGTGAAACTAATATAGGAGATAGACTCATTATATGCAAAGCAAGATAGTTCAAGCCGTGATTTGTCATAATTGTGATGATTATGGCTTACAGCTCTTGAAAAACCCAAATCCACAATCTCAGAAAATTAGAATATTGTGAAAAGGTGCAATATTCTCTGCTCAAAGTGTCCCACTCTAATCAGCTAATTAATCCATAACACCTGCAAAGGGTTCCTGAGCCTTTAAATGGTCTCTCAGTCTGGTTCAGTAGGAATCACAATCATGGGAAAGACTGCTGACCTGACATTTGTGCAGAAAACTATCATTGACACCCTCCATAAGGTCTCAAAAGGTAATTGCAAAAGAAGTTGGATGTTCCCAAAGTGCTGTATCAAAGCACATAATAGAAAGTTATGTGGAAGGGAAAAGTGTGGAAGAAAAGTGTGCACAAGCAGCAGGGTTGACCGCAGCCTGGAGAGGATTGTTAGGAAAAGGCCATTCAAAAGTGTTGGGGACTTTCACAAAGAGTGGACTGAGGCTGGAGTCAGTGCATCAAGAGCCACCACACACAGATGGATCCTGGACATGGACTTCAAATGTCGTATTCCTCTTGTCAAGCTGCTCCTGAACAACAAACAAACGTCAGAAGCGTCTTACCTGGGCTAAAGAAAAACAGACCTGGTCTGTTGCTTAGTGGTCCAAAGTCCTCTTTTCTGATGAGAGCAACTTTTGCATTTCATTTGGAAACCAAGGACCCAGAGTATGGAGGAAGAATGGAGAGGCACACACTGCAAGATGCTTGAAGTCCAGTGTGAAGTTTCCACAGTCTGTGTTGATTTGGGGAGCCATGTCATCTGCTGGTGTTGGTCCACTGTGCTTCATTAAGTCCAGGGTCAACGCAGCCGTCTACCAGGAGATTTTGGAGCACTTCATGCTTCCTTCCGCAGATGATGCTGACATAATTTTCCAGCAGGACTTGGCACCTGCCCACACTGCCAAAAGCACCAAAACCTGGTTCAATGACCGTGGGATTACTGTGCTTGATTGGGCAGCAAACTCGCCTGACCTGAACCCCATAGAGAATCTATGGGGCATTGCCAAGAGAAAGATGAGAGACATGAGACCAAACAATGCAGAAGAATCTGAAGGCCGCTATTGAAGCATCCTGGTCTTCCATAACACCTCAGCAGTGCCACAGGCTGATCGCTTCCATGCCATGCCGCATTGAGGCAGTAATTGCTGCAAAAAGGGCCCAAACCAAGTACTGAGTACATATGCATGCTTATACTTTTCAGAGGTCCGATATTGTTCTATGTACAATCCTTGTTTTATTGATTGCATGTAATATTTAAATTTTCTGAGATTGTGGATTTGGGTTTTTCATGAGCTGTAAGTCATAATCATCACAATTATGACAAATCACGGCTTGAACTATCTTGCTTTGCATATAATGAGTCTCATATATTAGTTTCACCTTTTAAGTTGCATTTTTGAAATAAATGAACTTTTGCACAATATTCTAATTTTTCGAGTTTCACCTGTATATGTAAAAGCAGAGAACATGGGCTTATGATGATTTGGGTCTATGAACCAATATGACCGCAATTTATTCTTTTTTGTAATGCCCATGTTGAGGGTTAGGCCCAAAAAAGTTTTAAATTCAGAAACCCTGATAGATTTCCATGCAAATTGTCTGGCAAGAGCTGAATTTTGGTTGGCTGCGAAGTATTGTTGTGTGTATAAATTGCTTTGGCCCACAATCAATTGATACAAATCTTCCATAAAAAACATCGGAGGGGCTAAACGCTAGTGCTGGCAGCGAATGGGGCTGATCCTGCTAACACTGCATTTTTGGGGACACTATACAAAAGAGGCACTAGTATAGTTCTGTTTTACTGTGCAGGAGCTGGCAGGGAGAGAAACCGGCCGGTCCCAGCCAGTGAATCCGCACCGACACCCGGCGATCAACAAGTATCACGGATGGTGGAGAGACTTATATGTAAACAATACATATCTCTCCCCTGTCAGCTCCTGCACACTGCTTTGTATGGCTCTGCACAGAAGAGCTATACAAAGCAGTGTGCTTACAGTGTAAAGCACACACACAGCACACAGTAAAACAGCACACAGTTAACCGTTTGATCGCCCCAGATTTTAACCCCTTCCTGCCCAGTGTCATTAGTATAGTGTCAGTGCTTTATATTAGCATTCATCACTGTATTGGTGTCACTGGGGATGTCGGTGACAGTTAGTCAGTTCCCCCCCAGTGTCAGAATTTTAAAAATATTCTTACCAAATATATTGTCATATATTTGAAATACTACTATTTTGGCCATTTTCAATATATTTCAAAAATATATTTCAATATATATACTGTATGTTGAAATGTGTTTTGTATATATAAAAAAAAAATGAAAAATATTTTTCAAATATATGTCTTTGAAAATACATTGAATCTACATTTTTGGAAAGCATTTACAAATATATGTAAAAATATATGTTAAAATGACATTTTTATATATTAAAAAGAATATATTTTAAAAAATATATTTTTAAATATATTCCTTTAGAAAATATATTTTTTTTTACATTTTTTAGAATACATGTTCAAATATATTAGCATAGGGCAATATGTTGTAAATATATGTCACATACATAATTTTTTTTCTTAGTATATTGGAAATATATATCTGTTCCATGTGGGTTCCAGTGACCCTTCCTATGTATAGATCTGCATGACTATAAAACCCAACGTGATATGATAAACTCTAAGTGGCTGCTTTGGAGGAACTGGAAAGGAAATTAATGAAGGTCCTAGGAAAACTTCAAAGTGCCAATTACTTTGCGGTTTCCAAGTAATCTGAATCTGGCTTTCTCCTTCACAAAGCTCAACGTTGTGAAGTGCATCACATGGCATGTAGTTACCTGTACACAAAGGTTATTATGAAGGCAGTTTAGTCACAGCATTGCAATGGTTCATCTATTAAATGGTTATTACTGTGTTTTCTAGGCTCAAGTTTTAGTACAAGATGCGGCACGTTACTGTATGAGGACACAATGATTCTTTTACAAGCATGGCTAGCTGCGATTGTGTGTAAATAGCATGATGTGCCCTTATGATGTGTGCAATGGGAGGACATTCATTAAACCCATAAATACTTCTGTGGTTTCTTATTAACAGCCAATACTCAGACTGATGATGGACCATTTAGGTCTACTTCAATGATAAATTGTCCTAACCTGCTTTCCAAAGCCTGCTCTGAAGTAAATAGGTGGTCCTATGGGCAGCGAGCAGAGCATGTGGGGGGAGCTGGGAACCGAGGTATAGAGATTTAAGTTCCACAGTGAAGTATAATTGATCAATTCAAAGAGTATCACCAGACGTATATTTTTGTTTCGAAAACAATGGAGAGGGTTTGAATCTCCATTAAAAATGTTACTGCCTATGTCTATTGGGGGGCTTCCCCTGCACTTCTTGTCCCCTGAGACACAACAAGGTAAATCTCCCCAATATGAGGATCTCACCTTTGTGTCCTCATCAGAAAATAAGCCTGTTCTGGTGACCACCATAATATTTTGGCTTCCTCAGTGTTCTGTCCACATATTTGTCTTTTTTTTCTGTGTTGTATATAAATGTATCAGGGTGCCTTTATTTAATGTATGCTATGATATGATTTGGTTTCTCTCTCTGTCCTTCCCTCCTGTTTATTGTTATTTTGTTCAGTCCTAGCTGGACCCTCCCTGTTTCTTTCATGTTCCATCAGTTAGCAGAGAGGCTGCTTAGTAAAATCATTGTGTTCTTACACTTCAAAGACTGCAACAATATCCTGTGTACTGTAATCATCTAAAGTGCCACTGTGTTGGATTCATCTTCTGTGCCTTATTAAAGAGTTAAGCTGCCTGTGGAGGGTGCCAAGTCAGCAAGTGACCATACTGTCTAAACAGACTGGATCCTAAGAAGGTATGTTAATGCATAATGTGGCATTTGACACAGAACATGTATCACTTTTTCTCAGGGTGACAATAGTCTCTGGCATATATAGTGAGGACACATCTCTCCAGTGTAAGACACAGACAGCCGCAAAACCCTATAATCCTTCCCTATTTTATCCAAAATTAGAAAAAAATGGTTTGGGCTAGAGTTATACTTTAACAGACCAGCATTGTCTCAAAATAACGAGGATTGTGTGGACTGTCTTTGCAAGAGTTCTGTAGGCACCAGGGGCGGACTGACAACTCCAGGGGCCCCCGGGCAATAGGGGATCATGGGGCCCCTGTGTCCTTGCCCAAACTCAAAAAAGCCTATGAAAAAGGTACCAGGGGCATCTCATGGGGCCCCCTACTTACCCCGGGCCCTCGGGAAGTGCCCACGTTTCCAAATGGTCAGTCCACCCCTGGTAGGCACTGATAATCAACTTTATATTTGCTCACATTCACACAGGCAGTTGGGGGTGGTAGAAACAAGCAGTTGAGCAGTGTTTTTACAACCACTCATCTAAATTGTGTAATGGTGACTAAATAGAGTAGTACATATTGCTGCAACTGCAGTGCTTTGTGGTACTGCAAAAAATATATACCATGTTACATTTTAGAGGGAGTACCACCTCCAAATGTGACCAATGCAGGTGAATGTGGCCACGATGCAACCACAGTCCAAAACCATAGCTTGCAGTTAGGGGGCAGTATTGCAATAGAAATTACCCATTTGACTTTAACCACTTGTCCTCTGAGGATTTACCCCCTTTCCTGACCAGGCCATGTTTTGCGTTATGTCGATGCGTTAATTTAACTGACAATTGTGCGGTCATGCAACGCTGCACTCAAATTAAATTTACGTCCTTTTTTTCCCACAAATACCGCTTTCTTTCGGTGGTGTTTGATTGACTCTGCATTTTTTATTTTTTGCGCTATAAACAAAAAAAGACCAACAATTTTGAGAAAAAACTATATTTTGGACTTTTTGCTATTAAACATGTCCAATAAAAAATTTTTAAAAATCTAATTTTGTCATAAATTTAGGGCAAATGTATTCTGCTACATTTTGCTAAAAAAAAAAAATCCCAATACGTGTAAATTAATTGGTTAACGTAAAAGTTATAGCATTTACAAATGGCAGTATATATACTGGATTTTTTTAAAAAAAAATTGTTTACTAGTAATGGCGGGAGATCAGCGAATTATAGCGAGACTGCGGCAGGCATTCTGACACTGGGGGGAACTGACTTGGTGTCACTGACATTCTCACTGACACCAATATAGTGATCAGTGCTAATAAAAGGCGCTGACACTGTACTAATGGCACTGGGCAGGAAGGGGTAACATCTGGGGTGATCAAAGGGTTAACTGTGTGATGTGTGTGTTTTACTATGAGGCTGTGTGCGTGTTTTCCACTGTAAGCACACTGCTTTGAATGGCTCTGTTATGTAGAGCCATACAAAGCAGTGTGCTGGAGCTGACAGGGGAGAGAACTGTATTACATACAGTCCTCTCCCCTGTCGCAACACCGGGTGCTGGTGAGTAATCACCGGCTGGGACCTGGTGATTGACAGCCGAGGCCACGAACTGGGGGTCGGGTAGGGTGCGATCATGGCTCGTGCACCCCCTACCCAGAATTGCAAAATCACATATATATATGTGTGATTTTGCGCACCCCTGTCGCTCTGTAGCAGTAATTTCTGCTATAGGGCGTCAGGAAAGCGGTTAAAAAAATGGCTATTCAGGAAGTGTCAGCATCCAAAGCGGATTGCTTTTCAGAGGGACGGCACAGATTGACATACATGTGTTACAAGGCATTTTAGTAACAGACAAGTTTTTTTGCCTCCAGTGTTTTCTCTGTAGTACACTTAAATTAGAACTGAAAGTCTCTTTGAAGGTTTCAATAAATCATTTTACTTGCACTTAGTTCATCCATCTTTCCCTGTACATAGAACTGAAACTCTACAGTCATCATCTCATAAATTGCTTATGTCTTTCTTCTAATAATAACTTTAATGCATATCATTTTATTGATATGTTGTATTTTCTTACTCAGCTATTTTGGGTTCCTTTTTGGAGTTGTGATCATATTACAAAGTGTAACTGCATCTGTGTAACAGGGAAAAATTAAATTGAAAAGAATGCCTAGAATTGGAAACACCTTCTTTATCATTATGTAAAAAGGACCAATACTTAAAGATTAACATGATATGTTGAAGTGAATTCATACTCAAAAAGTAAAAATTTTTTACTAAGGGATATCTAGAGAGGTTAATTAAAGCTAAACGGTATTCCACCCTATCTTGCCTCTACACACACTGCCATTCACATGAGATTTAGGGCTCATTCACACAGACAGCAGGTCTACCACCCCTCTGGAAAGTGATACTTGGTAGAATGACTTTTCAGAGGCCTTTAGAGATGGTTTTACTTCTCCCTGGCTGCCCATGTGACCTTAGACTTAGAGCATCATTTAGATTTGATGATGTTACTACTGAGCTGCTCTCTATGCTCCTTGCTGGAGAGAAAGCCATACCTGAAAACATGCAGCAAAAACATCTCCCTGCTTCTGCTTTATTCATTCTGTAGATCTTTGCTTTGTTCGCCTTTCCTTCTGCTTCTTGATCATTACCCCGCCAGTCATATCTTCATCAGCCCAGGTAGCAGCTTTACAAACTCGAGCTACTGAAGCCTGATGATGAATAGTCCGGGAAGTCCCAACACCCCTAGTAGAATAGGCTGTCAAATAGAAGCAGTTGAGTTCAGGTAACACCTGATGACACGAATCACATCTAAAGTGTGCAAAACTTTGTCCCCTGCCGTTTGAGGATTCAGAAAGAAGGACTGTAGTATAATATCCTAGTTAAGATGGAACAAAAAGTAAACAACTTAAGAAAAAATGGATGGCTGAGGCCGCAAAACCACCTTGTTTTGGTGGAGTATCAGGAACAGCTCCGTACAGGAAAGAGCAGCCAATTCTGAATCTCTGCCACCTGAAGTATTGATGAACAGAATGAGAACCTTTCTGAAAAAACAGAAAGTATCAGGCTGAGGTGCCATGGCCTCAACTGAAACTGAGTCTTAACTGGTGGAACTAGGTATGTAACACCTTCAACAAAAGCCAACACCAAAGAATTAAAGCAATTGGCCACTGAAAGAGAGTTGACAAGGCTAAGGGCTAAGGTTTGACCTTTAAACATGCTCAAGGCCATCCCCTGAACAACATCCTGATTGAAGGAAGGCCAGACACTAGCAAAAAACCTGGAACCTGTCCTAACGGGGAAGATAATATCTGGGAGGAGACTTCCTATCTTTCCTTCTTTTGCCAGTATCCAGTCACTGGAAGGTTCCAGCATAACCCTGTCATTATGAATATGAAGTTGCATGGTGTCCCAGGATGTATAAAAAATGAGAGTATGATTTTTTTTCCTTAACGAAAACTGCATTCACAGAAATTTTGTTGTTATTCTTCTTAGATTTTCCTTGTCACTATAGTCCAAAAATGTTGTCGAATTGACCCCAATGACTATTGGAAAATTTAATTAACATTCCCAAAGCTCATTTTTTTAACAACATTCTACTGGTGTATGGCCACAAATACACTATATAGGTGTTCACTTTACATATCCATCAATGAACTTTGGTTTTGCCTGGAGTTCTTCCATGTTTACCTTCTATTCCACTTGCAAACGGCTCCATCAGGAAATACAATAGTGTTTCTGTCGAGTGGTTTGATGAAAATGATTATTATATAAAAGGAACAGTGTGTGTAGGATGTGGATTGGGATGTTGTCCCATCATGTTTGGTACAAGAGTGCAGTTTTGGCTAATACATGGGGGATAAAGTGCTTTTCCAACACATTACTTAATAAAATAATAGAAAGTCATGAAGAGCTAATGCAAAGAATTTTCAGAAACATGTTGTGACAAAAAACTCAAGGAAGGAATTTAGAAAATAAAAACCTTAGATCTTGTTCACATCTTGTCCACAATGGATGAAAACGTCATTCTCGGCACTGAGGACCCTGTCTGCTAAAAGATGCTAAATAGCAAAGATTTTTTTTCCTTGGTATTAAAAATTAGCTTTAGAATATGTGCTGGGGGGATTTAACATTCATTTGGTGAATTGTATTGGTTTCATTATTGTCAAATCAAATGTTATTTTAATGTATTACTAAGTATAATAAAAGGCAATTTTTTGCCTTTAGTTCCACTTTATTAATTTATTATTAGTTCCACAATATTATTGTATGGATACTTGGGAATATAAGCAGTACTGCACACAATACATTCTTAGAACATTCAATTCTAAAAGAAAATACTTGAAGAACGCCTTATCAGAGGAGAAAACACCCTAAGAACATTCAATCCCAGGAGAACATACCTGAGGAACAGTCAATCAGAAAAGAAAACATCCTATGAACATATGAGCCTAAGAGAAACTATCCTAAGAACATTCAATCAGAAGAGAAACTAAATTAACCTAAGAACATTTGATCAGAAGGGCAACTAAACTTCCTTCTGAACATTCAACCAGAAGAAAAACTACCCAAAAAACGTTTGATACAGAGTCTTATAGTCCAGTAGGCAGGGCTGACAACATTGGTTGGGTTTTTAGTGCAGCAGAGGCATTGTGTTGTCAGCCAAAACAGGGGGGTAAAAGTTTTCTGGCAGATCAACAGATATATTTATGGCCCTGCATTATTTTTAAAGGTATACAAAAGGAGAGATGTTGCACGTATTGCACAGATGTAGTTTTTTTTTGAGTTAGGCATTTAAATAGGACATTTTTCACACTAAAGCAACTTGACAAAAATCATGGCCTTGGTTTAGACACATATTTAAAATTCAATAGAACATTTTAATTGTATTGTTTTTTGGAATACAAGTAAGTCTTTACCATTGGAAGCAGCCATTTTTTTTGTCTAGCATGTCTATGACTATATTTAGAAGCATGTGAAAAATTCCACTTGACACATAATAGTAATACTTGCTGAATATCCTGTTGGCTTCTCAAGAACGGTACATTCGTGCACCCAGTCCATCAGAACTGAGCTGCCAAAGATCCCGTGTAGCAAAAAAAAAGAGGAAATTCTTATCCCTCATGTCCAGCGGTTGAAGTTGATTGTGAGCCCTTCATGGTTTTGTTTATAAGGAATGCAAGCTTGAAAGTGTTTTTAGAGGATTCTTGAGGATTCCAGGAGACTGATTGCCAGTCACCACACATGTGTTTCCTGACTTTTTGTTTTGCAGGAGGGAAGTGCGCTGATCGAGGAGATATTATTGAAGGCAGCAATCCCTGGCCGCACACTTATTCTCAGGCTGAGCCTTCATAATAAAACAATGCTGTTCTGGTATCGCAAAATGTCATCAGGCAATATTGATAACGCCAATGTGGAGAAGTTCACAGGTCAGCTTGTATG